CATGTGGTTTCTTTGCTATTGCGATCTTCTTGGGAAGGACACTGTCTTGTCCCTTGTTCATTTACCATCCACTTACCTTTATGACTTGTGGATGGCTCATTTTCTCCAACAGTCCATTTTTGGGGTTTTCCTGAAACTTTTGAATCATGTGTGAACTCTTTGAGGCAATATTCGACTCCTTTGTCTCTAGTTGCTCATTTATCTTACCTTGGGCCCTTATAAACCCCTTTTTCCTTTTCAACACTCTCTCATCCTTTACCTGTTCCTCCCTCTTGCAGTTCCAGGGATTGTGATTACATCAATACATGGATGACTGGCTTCTGTGAGCTCATTCAGAAAGGGAGTATTCATATCACACTCGTCTCCTTCTTCCTGAAGCTGCTCAAATGGGTTGGATTATCACAGAAGTCTTTTCTGTTTCCTACCCAATATATTGTCCACTTGGGGGTCTTTTTAAACTCCCACCTCAGTTGGGCCCAACCTTCTCTTTGACTCCATTTGATGGCATTTCAGTTCTCCACACCCTTGCTGCTTCCTCACTTACTGCTTGCAAGGTTCTATTACTTTTTGGGACATGGGCTTCTATTGCAGCAGTTATCCCCTTGGGTCAGGCACATATGCAGTCTCTTCAGTAGAATCTAAACAACCAATGGAATCTTGCTTGAGATCCCCTGGATTCTCCCATTACCCTTCCTCCTTCCCTTGTTGACTATCTGCGTTGGTGGTTGAACATCACCCAAACATCATTGGGGGTACTGCTTCTTCTTTCTTGCCCATATTTTCACCCCTTCATGCTTCCCTACATGGCTGGGGGGCATGGGTGGATCAGCAAGTGCTTTTGGACAATAGTCTATGACGAACTAATTGTATCATATCAACACCTTGGAGCTTCTTGTGGTACAACGAGCTTTGGATCACTTTCTTCCTATAGTCAGGAATCAACTTGTTGTGATCCATTCCAACAATTCTACAGTGGTAGCTTATATCAACCACCAAGGTGGCACCCGTTCTCGTTTCTTTTGTGGTTGAACTTTAGATGTACTTATTTTGGCCCACACACTTGAGGTAAGTCTCCTGTCATGTCATGTTCTGGGTGCTTTCAACTTCGTGGTAGATCATCTTTTTAGACTGGACAAAATTTATCTCACGGAATGGTCCCTTGATCCTCAGGTTTTCCGGTGGCTATACTGACAGTGGAGTATTCCTCAGCAGGATGCATTTGCCATTTTCCTCAAATCCAAATTACCTCTTTTTTTTTGTCCTTGGTTCCTCATCTACAAGCCGTAGTTGTTGATGCATTCAGCCATGATTAGATTGACTGATACTATGTTCCGTAATTGCTCTTTATTGTTACATTGCCTGCACTGCTTTCTTCCGGGATTCTTGTTATTGCCTTTTCATCCCCTGGCAACATTCCTCTGTTCATGATCTTTTTCCTTCCACACTTATCAATTGGGTTTGGGTTTTGATTAGATTGATTTATTCCTCCTTGTCTCCTTCTTCCTGAAATCTGTTCCAGGTTTCGCTGCATCAGATTAGGCATCTTACCTTTACCCTGGTGCCTTACCTCCATTATTCGTTGGTGGAAATTCTTCAAGTGGGCATGTGGACTGCTACTCATACAATCATCTGCCACCATCTGCATTGGGTGGCTGTTTCTTCCTCGTAAAGATACCATCTTCCACCTGTCTCCCATCATTCAAACTTCAGTGAGACTGTGACTTTTTTTTATGTGCATTTTAATTTCTTTCAGAGGCATGTCCCTTTGTTATCATCAGAACCCTGCTCTGTGATGAGCATTGCCTGTCCAGGTATGCTTAATGTCACAAATCTGCACTGTACAGCCATGATGCTATCATGAAATACAATATTCCCATGGCCAGTAATGCATACTGATGATATGGGGTGTTCCACAAGATGGCTAGTAGGTTTTCTCTTGCTATATATATTTGCTTCATTAATATGCCTGGTCCTGACTTTACTAACCCATGAACATACATGGGTAAAACAGAAGGATATAGCTGCCCATCCATGCCATCCCTTCGATTGAATAAATAGGGGGCAGTCTACTTTTCAAAATAGGGTTTTCGTGGTCACCTGTTGCACTATCTTGTGGTGTTGGCATTGTTTTGGACTTTCCACTGCATTTTATCCCCCCTTGATCTTCTTGTGGAGAATGAAAGTCCTTGCCACTTTTCAGTTCCAAGCCACTGGGGTTGTGGACCATGGAGGAGCTCTCTTGAATGTGATCTGATGCTAATATATAAATACACAACATCCATTCAGTTGAGAGTAGGATGGTGGTGTTTTGCTGGTGTAGATGATGTTAGTGCTCCATTCATGCGCTCCATCCTAGTACAGAGGTCTCTGAGGGTTGATATTGTGCTTGGCTTCTGGGACTTTCTGGAGGGTGCATTTGCATAGAACTTACAGGAGCAATCCACTTCTGTGCAGTGGTATCTTGAAGTTTGTGTTGTGTTCCAAATCTGTATGGTCCTGTCTGTGGAGATGATATTGATTTGGAGCTGACCTGTCACATTGCAGTTTGCCCCTTTGATTGGGATCCCTCATTCCACCATCACATGGATGTCAGCTCCCGGTGACTAGTTTTGGATTTAGAGCAGTTCCAGTCAACATAATTTTTCACACATGTTGTGTGTGTTTTTATTATTCCTCATTCAATTTGCCTCATGATCACACAAAACAAGAGGGATAATGTTGAAGTAGGCAATGGTTTTCCCTCTGTTTTTGTGGCTGTTTGGTTGTTGGGTTTCCAGATGTATAGTTACCTGATGATGACAAAACCTTGTCGAAACGTTGTACATTTGCTGTTATGTTAAACTTATATTAAAGTTTTTCTTCATCACCCATTCAAGCCGTCTCCAGCCATTACTAGTCTCAAAGTGGGTTCCTCGTCACCGAAGATGTATAGTTAGTTGTGGACGGCACACATGTGCCCGTTTCATCAATCGGTTTGCATAAAATATACTTTTGTTTTACTGAACTTCAGGTGAAGACCGTTTTGACCATTCTTCATCCGTGGAACGGAGGTTATATTCATAGTACTGCTTGGTTTTGATCCATCATGTCCTAGCCACTCTACACCTTGGAGCATATCCAGTTTTGCTTTCCCCCACATTACCATCTGTAAAGGATTCATCTACAGCCTCTCTTCAATGTGATTGAGATTATGATATCATGTGCTTCAAGTTCCAATCCAACCGTTTTTCTCTCTCTTTTTGTTGTGCTCCTCCATTTTTTCTGTCAGTGTCTGCGACACCTTTTTTCATACTGGGCAAAGAGTATATCTGGTACAGAGGTACAGAAGTGGTGCGGTCTCCCACATATTATTTTCTAATAAGAGGATGATCGGTATAATGTGTTCTTCAGATGCTTTTGAAGGGTGGCTCTTTTTATCCCTCCTTTTCTTCAATGTGAGATTCTAGCTACATATGCGAGTTGAGGTAATATACCGTATCGGAAGTTGTAATTTTCCTATACTGGAAATATATTGCCGATAGATACTTGCCTCCACTTGCACTTCCCACTCATCCTCCACACTGAAAACTGGTGCTTCTTTTCTGCTTAAACTCAAAGTGATAGTTTGGTAGAATCAATTAGAGGGAGTCACATTCATTAGGAGGGTGTGTCATACTCTTACTGCTGGAGGGTTGTTGCATGATTTTTTTATGTAAGACACAGTTAAACCACTATAATTGTGGGGTATGTAGTAAGGGAAGGCTTTGGCATGTGAAGAAATTTTTGCATATAGAGGGCAGCACTAAACGAGAATAGCTGTAAGTGTAAGAAGAGGTAAGTACCTATCAGAAATATATTTTCAGCATAGGAAAATTATAACTTGTTAATTTGAATCATGGTCTAGATTTTTGTTTCAAGTTGTCATTACACAGTTTCAAAATATATGTATAAATTATTTAATTTTTTAAATGTGCTGTTTTTGTAGATACCAAAATAACTTATTGTAGCCTAGTCAAGCGAGTTATTATACAATATTATTTCAACTATATTTAGTATTTCACTTCATACAGGTATTTATGAATGATTAAACATTACAATTTTAAAATTACTTAGATATGTCAAAAGAGAGTTCATTTTGTAGATATTATTGTCTAAACATAAGTTTTACTTAGCATAACTTTAGTAAGAATATATTTTTAGGTCTTCATTTGCATTAATGGTAGTGGCTGATTAATAATGTTGGGAATCAAGGTGAGGTTGTTGAAGCTTTGCTTAGGCTCATATGCATTTTCATGTACGACATAGTATGTTTTAAAGATTTGAATTCTTGAATACTATCAAAAGCCTTGTTTATATAAGTTGAAGTTAGAACAACATTGTCATTATAGTAATTGTGTTTTTTTTTAATAATTTTAAGATTTACTTTTTATACGTAAATTAGAAAAGAAATGATTTTTGTTTTATTATTTCAGTTCTTTCTCATGGCAGTCTTATTTTAAGTAAAAATTATTTTTTTTTACAGATATTTAGAGAGATTGAAAACAGAGTGATTTGTTTTACCACTAAACAATTATATAACTAAACATGAAACATATTTGCTCATATTAGATACTTTTTTATTAGCTGAGGACTGCAGTTTTACATCAGCTTTCAAAAGCATGTAACTAGACAGGAGAAGATGAATATTTTCCATATTAAAGGCTACAGTTGTATGTGTGTCACTAAAACAAAATCTACAGCAGCTGTTACTTAAAAGAAATAGATACACAAGGTTTATTTGAAGAATATTTACTAACATTTACTTAGCAGTATTATTGAATGTTTTCATAGCTTGAAATTGCAGTTTTCAGGTGATAAAAAAAATATGTTTTGCACTCAGAAAAATTTGTCTCTTGTAATTGTACAGTGATAAACCAAACCTCTCTGATTCAACTTGAGTGTTTGGTTTATAGGAAAAATGTTATTTGTATTAGCAGGTAAATTTAATAAATAGTCATAAACCTATAACTGTTTTATTTCAGATTCAAGAGGTTGTAGAAGAATTCAACTTGAAGAAACAGACAGAGGAAGACAGAAAGCAAAGGTTTGTTTAGATGATTTTGTGAAATACTGATTTGTTTTGCTGTAGGAAAGAAATTAACATTCTATTATATATGCTAACATTTCTCCAGAAGAAAGCAAAATAAGAGCAGGAATTGTGAAAATTTGTCTACATTAAACATTAGAATATAAAGTATTCAACATTTTCTGAAACCATTTTTTAATAATTACACAAATTCCTCCCATTTGGTTGAGTAATATTGAAACTTGAAATAGTCACAGACTCACAGTGGTGTGTGTCATGGAACATCATAATCTGTAGCTATTTCTTGTGCCTCTGCCTTTGAGATTTTGCACATGCCACAAGAGTTGAACTATCTTCCACTTAAGATGTGTTTTAACTCTTTCAGCCTGGGCTCAGTCCCTGGGACTGACCTCGTAACCATTTTGTGTTTGTTATAGTTTTTATGCTTATTGTTATTTCATGCAGATTATCAGTAAACATAACAATGCTTTCATACACAAAATATCATTTTTTTTTATTAAGTCTTAAGGTTTGTAAAGTAATGTTTCTTTCATGCCTTTTTTTTACATCTTGCCTATCTATCATGAAAAGTAATTTTCA